TCTAATTTCCTCAACTTTTTTTGTTTCCTTTTGAGTAGGAACATGACCAATTCTAGTCCTTTCTCATGGAAAAAATGGAAAATATATGGTCCCGAAGATACATAAAAATGCCACAAAAACCACCGGGCAGACCCATAGTAAAACGGCATATACAGTCAGTGGGGGCTAGATTGGGACATTACATAGATGAATTTTTGCAACCAGTGGTAAAAAGTACTACAGCATATTTACGTGATACTAAACATCTGATTCAGGTGCTGGAGGAATTCAAAGGAGGAAGAAATATTTATTCAGCAAGTGCGGACATATCTTCCTTGTATACAATCATAGGGCATGAGGATGCTATAGAGGCAGTTGGATGGGGGCTCAGGAAGTACAGCCACCTGCCTTGGACTCAAAGAAAGTTTTTATTGGAATGTCTTGAATTTGGTTTGAGTCACAATTACTTCTGGAATGAGCACACCAACTATGAACAAAATAGGGGCGTAGCAATGGGTGCCCGCTTTGCACCAAGTGTAGTCAATATATTTATGGCACACTGGGAAGAAACGGAGGTATATCAAGAGTATCCAAAGGAGTTAAAAGTGTGTAAAAGATATATAGATGACGTGATTATTATTTAGGAAGGAGAGGAAAACACCTTATTGAAGTTTTTAAACAAATTGAATGAAAATAATAAGAATATCAGATTTACATGGGAACATAGCAAGGAGGAAATACAGTTTTTAGATTTAAATATTAAAATTATAAATGGAAAAATTTTAACTAAAACATATTTTAAAAGTGTGGATCGTAATGGATATATACCAATGGGGAGTTGTCATTTCCCCCCTTGGTTGTTTAACCACTTGCCGACCGCGCATAGCCGAATGACGGCTTCACCGCGGCCGGCTAGTTCTGGGTAGACGTCATATGACGTCCTCCCAGAACGCGCTCTCCTGCGCGCCCCAGGGGGTGCGCACCCGGCGATCTCCGTGATCGCTGTGTCCTACGGACACAGCTGATCACGTGATGTGGTGAAAGGCCGATCCCACCGGCCTTTTACCACGTGATCAGCGGTGTCCAATGACACGCTGATCACAGGGAAATGCAAGTGCCGGTTCTCGGCTGCACTTTCCTCACGCTGTCAGATCGTGAGGAAAGTACTGCCGAGAACCGGCAGTTGTCAGAGCGGGGATCGGCACCGATCATCAGGGCACTGATGATCAGTGCCCTGATGATCGGTGCCCAGCAGTGACACCCGCAAGTTCCGCCCAGCAGTGCGCCCACTAGCCCCGCCCACCCATGCCCAGCAGTGCCCCCACCTGTGCCACTCTGCAGTGCCACCTACCTGTGCCCAGAAGTGCCACCTACATGTGCCAGCAGTGCCACCCACCTGTGCCCACCCACCAGTGCTGCCCACCAGTGCAGCCCAGCAGTGCTGCCAGTCAGTGCCACCAGTCAGTGCCCAGGGGTTGTGCCAGTCAGTGCCACCAGTCAGTGCCCAGAAGTGATGCCAGTCAGTGCCGTCTATCAGTACCCATAATCAGTGTCACCTATCAGTGCCGCCGATCAGTGCTGCATATCAGTGCCACCTATCCGTGACCCCTAATTAGTGCTGTCTATCAGTGCCGCCTATCCGTGCCACCTCATTAGTACTGCCTATCAGTGCCCTTTAGTGCTGCCTATCAGTGCCCATCAGTGCCGCCTATCAGTGCCCATCAGTGCCGCCTCATCAACGCAAATCAGTGAAGAAGAAAAAATACCTGTTTGAAAAATTTTATAAAAGAAACAAATAAATTTTTTGTTTGCACTTTTTTTAATTTATAGCGCAAAAAGTAAAGCGCCCAGTGGCGATTAAATACCACCAAAAGAAAGCTCTATTTGTGAGAAAAAAATGATCAAAATTTCATATGGGTACAATGTTGCATGACCGCGCAATTGTCAATCAAAGTGCGGCAGCGCTGAAAGCTGAAAATTGGCCTGGTAAGGAAGGGGGTATAAGTGCCCGGTAGGCAAGTGGTTAATATCCCAAAGGGTCAGTTTGTGAGAGTCAGGAGGAACTGTACCCTAGTAAGTGATTATTTAGAAGTTGGGATCTAGATTTGTGGATAAAGGGTATCCTAAGGATATGATCACCCAGAGTATAGTAGAAGTGGGAAATAGGGATAGAAGTACATTCTTACAAGATAATAAGAAAGAAGAGAATACAGAGAACAACCTATCAATAATCTTAGATTTTAATATCCATTACAAAAAAATAGAATTTTTAGCAAACATTGGGGTATTTTTAAGGGCAGACCCCATTTTAAGAGGTGTTTTACCAGCTGTTCCCAAATTTGTGTATAGAAAAGCACCCACGGTGAAATCAAAGGTGGTTAAGAGTGTATTAGATCCTCCCAGTCAGAATAAAGTCCCGTTTTTACCCATGCAGAAATTGCTACGCCTGTATAGCCACTAGAAGATCAAATACCAGACGTAAGAACTGTATTGCTAATACTACTGGACAAGAGTTCATCATTAAAGACTTCATTTCATGCACAACAGAGGGGTAGTATACTGCTTAGAATGTGAATGTGGATTACAATATATTGGCAGAACTAAAAGAGCGCTATGGAAGAGACTCAGGGAGCACGTTCAAAACATTAGGAAGGGTTCCCTAAGCACAATGTCTCTAGGCAATGTACCACACATCACAACAAGGATCCCAGTAATATCAAATTCTGGGGGATAGAAAAATGTAAGAGACACTGGAGAGGCAGTAATAAAATTAGATCCCTCAGCCAAGCCGAGTCACGTTGGATTTATTATATGAAAACTATGGTCCCTAGAGGGTTGAATGTTGAGTTTGATCTCAATTGTTTTATCAGTGATTTTTAATAAATATTTTAGTTTTTAGATTGTTGGCTGTCTATATATTTTATATACATTTTATTATATATTCCATTTATATTTTATTTATTTTTTATTGTAATTGTATTTATGGAATTATGTTATTTATTTAGGTAGCAATCTATGTTCATGTGTGGGTATATTGCATACACATGTGGTCATTTTTATTTTATTTTATATAAACATATTTTTTGTTTATCATTTTTTTGGTATTATTTTTTGTCTTCAAAAGGTGTTCTGAGTTTTTTTATATCGATATGGGTATACTTATATTTTTACGTATATAGTTATTTATTTTTATTCTTATATACACTTCATCTTTCTGGGGTAGTGTATATGTTAGAATACATTTATTTCCACCTGGTTTATTCCCCTTTTTTAAATAGTTAATATTAGTAGAATTTATTTAGAGTTGTTTCAATAATAAAGGTTTTTTTAGTGATCATTTTGGATCCTGACTGTGTTGGGGTTTTTAGCTGGATCTAATGTCTTTTTCCTGGGTATGGAGGTTAGTTTATTATGAACATATATATATAATTAATACCGTTTTGGCTTCCATCCAATGGTCGCGGCTAATTATTAGCCTGGGAGGCCAGGTATGCGCCATATCTACATTTTTAGCCTTCTAGAAAATGGCCACGTGTCTGTTATCAGCTTGGGAGGCGGGATATGCGCCAATGCCAATATAAAAGGAGCAGCTGTGTCTACTTGGCGATACCCCGAGGAAGTCACGAGACCACGTGACGTAACGCGTAGGTAACGCCAATACGCAGCTTCCGGTACGAGTGACGCACTTCCGGTGGAGGACGCCATCTTAGTACACCCAGGAAGTACCACATGGATGCAGCATACCCACATATAGCAGGAGGAAGGGACTGCAGGTTCATGTGAGTGTACTTCCTATGTTTAAATAAAGACTGCATAATTAATAATACTACACTATGGAGGATCTTTTTATCACTCACTGGGATTGTGAGTAATATACCCTACAGAGTATCCTTATAAAAGGCAGAGGAGGAAGCGTTTGGAGGCTGAACAGGAGACCATTTATGATCCTTGGCTTTCTGGAGAGGTATTAGCCGGAGATATAAAGGATCCAGAGTGATCCTGAATACCTGTTGGGCCCTTTTGGGTCGCAGGAAGGAGGTGAGGAGGCACTGCAGCTGCAGTGGATTTAAAGTGTGCCGGCACTTGCATGAAGTGTTCACGTTTAACACATTGCATGGTGTTTTATCACGTTTTATCACCACTTGTTACTTTATGGACTTGTTAGTACTTGTTATAAAAGGTTTTTTGATTATTACCAAGGACACTTAACACCAGTCTATTTATTATGTGTGTTTATCACCATTTTTAGGTCACTAAGGTGACCCATACACTAGTATTGTCCACGTTGTTACCACGGTTCTGATTAGCACTATATTGTTATATGTATATTTTGGTTTGTTGATTTATTAGCACTTTATGAGTGTTTGGTTACATTTATTATTTTTATTCACTTTTGTAGTTAGCGCTGCACCATTCATTTTCAATTGTTTTCTTGATCTGATTGGTATTATCATTGGGTGTTGGCCGCTATTGGTTAGGGGATTTCCGTATCAGCAAAGGAGGATTTTTAGTTTTTCTTTTTACCCCCCAATAAGTACTGACCCCGGTCTGATCTGTCTACCCCGTTATAATTGAATTCTCCCCTCTCCATCCTAGTTTATATACTCCTCCAGCCTTCCCATAAACCCCTCCCCCAGCACAGCAGACCCCCATCCATGTAGATGCAAACCATCTCTAGTATATAGGCTGCACCCCAATGAGAGTCAGCCCAGTGCTCTAGGGCAGGACTCCATTTTTATTCTTCTCCTGCCATCAATGGCCAACCCGGTCCCACACTTCATCCATGTCTTTGGGGACCTCTGATCTCCTCATGAACTGTTTCTTCCATGATGAAGATCAGCCATGGAGTATATCTGAGGTGTATATCAGGGTGTGCTTCTTCCCCACATGAGAGCTGGGATGTCCAGCAACATTCATCTAGAAGACATTTCCCGCACTCAAGGCACTAATACACCTCCAGGGTTGTGTGGGACCCCTGATGTACAGGAAGACAGGACTTTAGTGAGGAACATTTCCCTCACTCAGGACAGGAAAGTGGCTTCTCCTTCATGTGCAGTCTCTGATGTCTGGAAAGATGGGACTTTTGTGAAAAAACATTTCCCGCAGTCAGGACAGGAATACGGCTTCTCCCCTGTGTGAGATCTCTGATGTTTGTTAAGACTGGACTTCACTGAAAAACATTTCCCACACTCAGGGCAGGAATACGGCTTCTCCCCTGTGTGAGATCTCTGATGTATGTAAAGATGGAACTTCACTGAAAAACATTTCCCACACTCAGGGCAGGAATACGGCTTCTCTCCTGTGTGAGATCTCTGATGTGTGTTAAGACTGGACTTGTCTGAAAAACATTTCCCACACTCAGGGCAGGAATACGGCTTTTCCCCTGTGTGAGATCTCTGATGTATGTAAAGATGGGACTTCACTGAAAAACATTTCCCACACTCAGGGCAGGAATACGGCTTCTCCCCCGTGTGAGAGATCTCTGATGTCTGTAAATGCTGGACTCATCTAAATAACATTTCCCGCACTCAGGGCAAGAATATGGCTTCTCTCCCGTATGACGTCTCTTATGACTTTGAAATTTGGACTTCACCAAAAAACATTTCCCGCACTCAGGACAGGAATACGGCTTCTCCCCCGTGTGAGATCTCTGATGTGTGTAAAGATTGGACTTCTGTGAAAAATATTTCCCGCACTCAGACAGGAATATGGCTTTTCCCCTGTGTGAGATCTCTGATGTGTGTAAAGATTGGACTTAACTGAAAAACATTTCCCGCACTCAGGACAAGGATACGGCTTCTCCCCCGTGTGAGATCTTTTATGCCTATTAAGATGGTATGTAGAACTGAACCTCTTCCCACACTCAGTACAGGAGAAGCTCTTCCCTGTTGGAAGGCCGGCCCGGTCCCGCACAGTCTGAGGTTCCTCAGGATACGAGGAATCCGATGGTCCATCTACACTGGGTGGTGCCGGATGGACATTGGAGGGCCGGGTTTTCTCCTGGATTATACTGTGTGATGTCCTCATCTTCTACTTTCCAGTCTGGAGACAAAGTGAGACAATCCTCGGAGGTTTTCCTCATCTCCCGGCCATGGACTAAAATACAAAGACAAAGAGGATTACTAGACAGGAGCTGATTGGTTCCCCCAAACCAGGACTCCGCCCACATCAGGCAGCTTGGTCTCGGAGGAGCTTACAATTCCACCCTCAAGGGAACTAGGAAATGGCTCCTCTGATCTCCTACCAGGTCATTTCTTTATTCATGGACCTTAGTCAGAGAGTGAGGAAACAACCAGAACTGTCTTTTATAGGAGGGACAGTGATGAGGGGATTATAGGACGAGGGTCCCCACCCCCTCTATCACTCATCGCCATCTTCCCAACACAAGAAGTACTGCACTTCCTTATTTAGTCCATGATTTAGTCATGAAGAACAGCGGGGCTGAGCCCCACCAGAGGTCAGAGAGTGAGGGTGGGGGGAGAACAACCAAGATGAAGACTGGACTGATCCTGAAGACCACCATCATTGGGGTATTGACTCCTCCCTCATTATCACTTTCTGTTTAAGGGTTCAAAGTTGGAGGATGTTATCACATTATCACCATGTAAAAGTCTGTGCTCCAATCACATCATCCGATATAAAATGTCCAGCTGGTAGGAAATGGGGGGAACAAAAGAGAATCCATATTATGTGTATATATAGCAGTGGGGGGAGGGGGAGAGCAGAAGTCAGGAGTATGTAATGTACAACATAGAGTATATAGTGCAGGGGTCAGGAGTATGTAATGTACAACATAGTATATAGTGCAGGGGTCAGGAGTATGTAATGTACAACAAGTATATAGTGCAGGGGTCAGGAGTATGTAATGTACAATATAGGGTATATAGTGCAGGGGTCAGGAGTATGTAATGTACAACATAGAGTATATAGTGCAGGGGTCAGGAGTAATGTACAACATAGAGTAATAGTACAACATAGGAGTATGTAATGTACAGGTGCAGGGGTCAGGAGTATGTAATGTACAACATAAAGTATATATGTATATATAAGGCAGGGGTCAGGACTCACAGTATATAATTCAGTATTCTGTAATCAGTGGAAGTTTAACTGTTTAGTATTCTGTAGACAAACTGTTTACTGTATGTAGAGGTGATCTGGGATTAAACCATCAAGAAACAGGTTAGATTGGAGGTGAGCAAATCCTTGGACAGAGGGGTGGACGTGGTATACTTGGACAGAGGGGTTGCGGTGGACGTGGTATACTTGGACAGAGGGGTGGTGTGGTGGACGTGGTATACTTGGACAGAGGGGGGGCTGTGGACTGTGGATGTGGTATACTTGGACAGAGGGGGGGCTGTGGACGTGGTATACTTGGACAGAGGGGTGGTGGTGGACGTGGTATACTTGGACAGAGGGGTGGTGTGGTGGACGTGGACGTGGTATACTTGGACAGAGGGGTGGCGGTGGACGTGGTATACTTGGACAGAGGGGTGGCGGCGGGACAGAGGGGGTATACTTGGACAGAGGGGTGGCGGTGGACGTATACTTGTGTGATGGATTTGGTAAAAATGCCTATTTCGTTTCCTATTGAATATATATATTTTTTATACATATTTACTTTTATACTTTAATACTATTTCTTTCTTCATATTTATAAATGTTTAGTATGAATATATATGTTGTGTGAATATTTTCTGCCTGCTGGGCTTTGTGGTACTTTAAGAATTTCTTGCTTAAGAAATGTCTGCTCACAGGCACCGATCCCCCCTCCCATCATGCCAACTTGAGACAAAGGAATGTTTTCTTCTCTATAAGATAATGCCTGGAAGAAGATCACACCTATACCATGACGGAGATTGTTTTCATGTGGAAATGACCAATCAAAGACTAATATAATGCTTATGCTGTCCTCACATGACTCTGATGCTGTCCTCACATGACTCTGATGCTGTCCTCACATGACTCTGATGCTGTCCTGTCCTCACATGACTCTCGCATCATTCTGCATATATAAGTTCACTTTCTCATTATAATAAAGTAGAAGTGTTCATAGACTGAACTTGTGTGTCAGTGTGAGACTCTTCCAGTGTGCGCACATTCCAAAGCTAGCTAGCAAAGATTAATTAGGACAGGAGCAGATAATCAACGGACACTTTTGGTCTTTATCTAAATCAGCTGGTGCAGAGAAATCCGGAACTCCAGGTCATGAACCCGCGAACAGCCGACCTGACAGGGCGTGAGGAATCACTCACAGGACTGGGAGAGCCTGATCAACTCTCGGAGCATGGTAAGATATATTTTGTTATCTTACCAGTGCTTATCCTGTCCTTGTTGATTCATTCCTGTACCTAATACGGCTGCTTAAGGTCATTAAAGGCAGGTAACATTGATTGCTCGGAGTTTATTTGAACCTTACCTGCATTGATTATCTGCTGTCTGGTTTACGTTGTTTGTGTTTGTTTTTTTATGTGTCAGTCTTGAGGTGGTGGAAGAGGACATAATTTCTCTTGGGTGTGGTAACCTTGTGTGTTGACCACAAGAGGAGGTGTCGTGTACACGTCATGGTAGTGTGGCAGCGGGGTGCCTTAGCCATGTTTGGGGCTAGGAAGAGTTACTCAGTGATCTGTACTCATAGCCCACCAAGATAGACTGCTATGTCATGTCCTAAATGTGTGTCTTTGAGTTAATGTTTGCCATTCATAACAGAAGGTTGGGGTTTGTTAAGGGTTAAGGAAAGTCTGGACAGCAGCCTGTGAAGTGTTTTGGATTTCTGTTAAAAAGGACAGACAAGGGGGAGGAGATGGGTCAGACGCTGATAAGACCCCTAGAAAGGAATGTTACCATGTGACCTGGTTGCACAGAGAGAAGAGGAAAAGTATGTGGAATTAAAGATAAGGAGGTTTAGGCTACAGTCAGAGGAATGGCAGGAAAAAAAAAGAGAAGAAAGATGTCTTAGTTGACAAAAATTTGCTGAAGACAGCAAGAAGTTTGGTATAATGTAGCCAAAGTTATCCACAAAGAGCAGTGGACAGAACAGGTATTGCAACAGGGAAAAAAAAAAAAAAAACTTTATGTGTACCATTAATGTGTTAAATATTGAAAAGGAACACCCACCACCCTTTTCCCTGCCCTTCCAGTTCCTTCCTGCCCAGCCCAGTGCACTTCCTGACGGCAGCCATCTTGCTGCACCTGCATTGTCACTTCCTGCCCTGCCCAGTACACTTCCTGGAGGCGGCCATATTGGTACACCAAATTAGACAACTGGAAGGCCAACGCCTCGAGTGAGCCACCTCTACCCAGTGTGTCCGGTCTTACAAGTCAATGGTACATTCTACGTACCGCCGGATGTGCTGAGCAGAATCCCAAGTTGCCTATAGTCCACAGGACCCGAAGATATTGGACGTTTAAAAGGTACCCCCAATTATGGTGGAACTGAAGCCTGGAGCTCCCCTACCCAGGAAACCACAGTACCCACTGAAACCAGTGCAATCCGAGGCCATTTCAAAGCAGGTCAAGTCCCTTTTGGCAAATGGTGCACTCATACCTTGCACCTCTCCATGCAACACACCTTTGTTCCCGGTAAAAAAAAAAAGAAGACACCCAAAGGAGAATCAGAGAAGTACAGGATGGTACAGGAGCTCCGAGCAGTGAATTAAGCCACTGTCTTAGAGACACTTATCGCCCCAAATCCCCACACTTTACTCACAGGGGTACCTCCAACAGCAAAGTACTTCAACGTAGTGGACCTGGCAAATGCATTCTTCAGCGTTCCTTGTATCCTTCCTGCAGATACTTCTTCGTTTTTACCCATGAGGGGCAGCAATACACCTGGGCAGTTTATGCCACAAGGGGGCGCAAAATTCTCCAAGCCAGTTTGCCAAAGCCATGACCACCATACTGGACACGTGGCAAAAGGAACATTCGGCAGTGGTCCTTCAATATGTGGATGACTTTTTCCTCTGTGCTGATGACCTGCCCACGGCTGAAGAAGCCTCGGAGAGTTTACTATGTTACTTGGCACACCAAGGCTGTAAGGCCTCTAAACCGAAGTTGTAATGGTGCTCTACAACAGTCGTATTCTTGGGCCACTGCCTCTCACATGGAACAAGGCATCTTACAGAGGAAAGAGTTAAGCCCATCCAGAACCTGCCACTGCCGCTAGGCCAGAAGCCACTCCACGCCTTTCTTGGCCTCATATCCTACTGTAGGTCATGGATTCCTGATGTTTCTTGGTTTATGCAACCACTCTACGATGCTCTCAAGTCTGAGCCCTTCCATCTGTCCGAAGAGGCCGCCTCCAACTTTTTGGCTCTAAAACGCTTACTTTCTTCAGCCCCAGCCCTAGGTCTACCAGACTACGAGAAACCTTTCAAACTGTTCGTGTCTGAACGCCAAGGCCATGGCACAGGAGTATTGGCCCAGTCCCATGGTGACTGCCTACGACCCGTAGGCTACTACTCATGCCGTTTAGACCCAATGGCTAGAGGAGCACCCTCGTGTCTGCGTGCAGTTTTCGCTGCTCATGCTCTGCTGGATAAGACCTCTGATATCGTTCTGGGACATGAACTTGTCCTCCTGGCGCCGCATGACATTGCTGCCATTTTAAACCAAGTCCAACCTAAACATTTGTCCACAGCGAGGCATCTTAAACTACAGTGTTCCCTCCGACTTCCTGATAACGTCACTCTCCTACGTTGCCAAACCCTGAATCCGGCCACTCTGCTCCCAATTGCTGAGGGGGGTAATGAAGGTAATGAAGAAAGTGGAGAGGATAATGGAGCCACTGAGCCTCATAACTGTCTTGAAGTGATGAAAATGGAAACACCTCTGCAGGATCCAGACTTCACTTTCTTTGTTGATGGTTCCAGATATGCAGATGGTGGAGGCAAATATCATACAGGATTTGCGGTCACTACTGCAGATACAGTCCTACAGGCAAGAGCCCTATCGCCAGCAATATCTGCACAAGGAGCAAAACTTCAAGCACTCACAACAGCATGCCGGATGGTGGAAGGAAAAAAAAAAAG